CGTGCTAATACTATCATTGTTACTATTATCAATATTACTGTTATTATTATTATTATTATTATCATTATTATTGTTGTTGCTATTATTGTTATTATTATTATCATTAATATCATCATCATCATGCATTTGCAACGTTTTACATATTATTGTATAATTCACTGTATATTTATTGTTATTTTTATGTTTGTGGACCCCTTTGAAAACCAGCTGTGCTGAAAGGGCCATCCACCCTATGAGAGGAAATGAATAAATAAATAACAAATTTATGTACTTGTGGTTGATGATGCCTGCGTCACATATCCAACGGTCTCCGGCCGATTTTGTGGATCGCCAGAAAGTCTCCGAATTTCAAACCCACCGGGGATTCGAGCGTATTTTTTGCTTGAAATCTACCCTGTCATATATTGGACGGGCTCGCGATGTGCCAATTTAACACCAGTGAGTAAACAAACGGGAGTCGGGCGAAGCCCGCTCGTCATTAGGGAGGGCGCCGTCCGAGTTTCGGTCGACTATCAATAGGTCTGTCGGTGCCCGCCGGACACTCGGCAATGCCCGGACGGGCTCCGCCCGACGTCCTGCCCGGCTTCCTCCGACGCGTCTGCGCCTCGAATATATATAGGACACTTACACATTTGTTCACATCATATTTCTGAGGTCTGAATGAGTGAACAATGCAGCAAAGCTACTTACACTGTACAATTTGTAACGTTTGTTTACTAACATGTTTTTGTCCCCCAAATTAAAACACATGCATGTTTAGGTGTTAGTATTCAAACACTTACAACGCAGTTAAATTAACACTTATTATTAAAGCAATCAGTTTATCCGCTTGTTAGCAACTGTTTTGTATCTTACTGTTAGATATTTCATGTTTTATACGTTGTGAAATTGGTGCAAGCTAAGTAAACGTTTGTAGACACGCTGCTGCTAACAGTTCACAAGTACTATTTTCAGAAACAACTGGTTGAATCGTTTGAACACAATCACATACGAATGGGTCAACCGTTGTAAATTTAGAGTGTAGTACTTTGAAGGTTTTGAGAGAGTGAGCAGAAGTTGTTGCAGAATTTGAAGAAAATAAGAACGAACAGCAAACCGAACTGTGATTCAATTCACGAACTTCAGAAAAAAAATCACTGCGCATTTGTACTAATTCTCTCTTTCTAGCGCCATCTAGACCTTTATTTTAAAAATTAAATACAATGACAGTCTATGATAAAAAAAAATCAATTTAAAATCGCTTCACTTATGCATGCTGTTAAAAATAGATACGCTCCTTACCATAAGATAAGTCTTTTTCAATACAACTATGAATTCAATCAGTATAATACTTCTCCAGCACCGAGGAATAATTGAAAGTATCTCAGAATGCAGGGGATATATATTAAGACAATTACCAGACTTAAGCCAATTATTTGGAGGCCTTAATTTGGTGGGATATGATTTTCTGACGGAGTATCATAACAACATTATTGAGTTGACAGGAGGAACCCGGCCGGGGCACGGAGCGCGCTCGAAGCACGCCCAACTTTTTACAAGTCGCGGGTGGTATGCGGGAAGGGGACGTTCGAGTATCGTAGGTAGCCAATGCGGCGGCTGCGCAGCTCTGCCACACCTCGTCTGAATTTGTAAAGCCCAAAATGGTCTAAAATCGTCGGAAAGCCGCCCGAATATCTATCGAATGTTTGCCGATGCCCGAGCGATCTATGGGCGACTTGTTTACGAGCTCTGCGACCTCAAAATTCGCCATTTGAAAATCGCTGAATTGGAAGCAGGTTTCAGTGCTCTGCGAACGTCGTTCGACCCTTGTCGTATTCCTGGCAAAAATGCCGTTTTGAGCTCGCAGAGAAGTCGGGTGGGCTACGTTTTGGATATGTGACGGCCACTTTAAGCAGGTTTGACTGCAGCAATAGTAGTAGTAGTAGTAGTAGTAGTAGTAGTAGTAGTAGACGCAGAAGTAGTAATATCATAAAACCTACGCTAATACATCCACAGTACTAAGCTACGGAATCTTAACAACACAAATGTAACATTTAAAAAAGGATTGCCATGTCCTACATATCGTGCAGTTTATAACCTGGCACATCGCAGGGGACCAGGAGTCGGCCGATCCCGAGTAACAGTAAGAATAGTCCGTATGAATACAAGAAAATATACTTAACTATTCTCAAATATTGGATCCTAATACCTTTTGGGATTTTGTAGAATTTCAAATAAAATCAATATAAAAACTATATTGTATTAATCTATCTAAGACAAAAACAAACTTGAGTCAGATTATTAAAAAAAAAAAAAAAAAATCTTTATTAGATAAAATAAAACCATGTAGGGAAGATATATATTTTATATAAAAATAAAGTTGATGGCAACATCAACATAACATCCAGATCAAACTTTTTTAACTCCATAAAAAAGGAAATCAAATTTTAGAATTAACTACAAAAATATATGATGAAAATGGACTAAAAACAGCTAAGGAGTATTATTAATATATATATACTTCCAATAACCCCTCACTAGCTAATTTTATATAAAATTCACCTGAAGACTGTCAGAATGTTGAATTTTTATTAAATTCTAAATATAAGTGTGAAGGTTTGTTTACATTGAACTAATGTTTAAATACGCGTAAAAATATGCAAAATAATAAAACACTTGGTACTGATGAGATTTTCTGTAAACTTTAATCATTCTTTTTAAAAAATTGACCGTCTTTTTACTTTAAACTTTTAATTATTAATGTCATTGTGGTAAAATATCCCTTGATCAAAGAAGAGCCATAATAAATCTTGTTCCAAAGAAAAATCAAGATCCCTCATTTTTGAAAAATTGGAGACCCATGTCTGTTTTAAAAAACGGATTTAAATTAATAGCTGAATGCTTAGCAAATAGTCTAAGAAATTTATTATCCTAAATTATCAGTTGTGACCAGACTAGTTTTTATAAAAGGACGTTCTTAGAATATTCTTTTGGCTTTAGATATTTTGGAATGCGCAAAGATTCAATCAGTTTAATTTTGGCCATTGCAAGAAGTGGGTTATTGATGTAGACAAATGTACATGCACCATGACAGCTCATTTTATGTATGTTATTACCGAAGAAACAAAAGAAGTCAGCTAGTCACTCAATAGTGTCTGACAGTGAAGACTAGTGAGTAAACGGGTTTCCTTGCATGATTTGATAATGGGACACTGTTAACGTTTAAATTTCACAAATAGGACATACGTGACATATTCATAATTCCTGCAAAGCTGTACGTAATTCGATGTTGGCTGCAAATGGGACATAGTACTTTTTAAGCCCATTGCATTTTATTTTGTTGTAATGAAATAATGAGTATTTGGATTAAGAGTGATACAAAGGTTCAAGGACTTGTGATTAATGATACAAATACAAAAATAAATATGTACACTGAAGATGCAACATTTTATGTGAAAGACATTCACTCTTTGTCTAAAATTATATATATATATATATATATATATATATATATATATATATATACAGTATACTTGAAATATTGAAAAGATATTCAGGGTTAAATATAAATCATAATGAATCAAACATTTTAACTCTTGGTTATACAAAGCACACCCCCAACATTCTAAAGGTCCATTTGATTTATTATTTATATTAATGATTTATATGCCTTGCCTAAATTGCAAACTTTAAAACGAATTTTGGGAATATGATCGGTGAGAGAATTAACACCGTTGGGACAAATTATTATTGCACAATCTTGTGCCATTTCCCAACTTATTTTTCTTTTATCAGTATTACCAATAATTTCTTTTATTTGGATCGTAAACCAGACAAGATAAATCGGAATACATGTACAATTATAGCAGATTATATTAAAGGGGGTTTGAAAATGAAATATTTACCATCAATTATTATAAGACTCACATGGTTGAGGAGATGGTTAAATAAAGAAAATAAAGGCAACTGGAAATGTTTTTTTAAATTTTATATGATGAAATTAGGTAATGGTTTATTTGGACTTGAAATTTAACAAGTAAAGAGCAATTGATGAAATGAATAACTCCTTTATAAAAGAAATGTTAGTAGCCTGGGCAACGTAACTTTTGGTGAGAACCCAAGTGATCATTTTATTCATAATTAAATTATTTTGAATAATTAGTGTATCAAAGTAAAAGTGGATAAATTATGGCGTTATAAAAATTAAAATTACAAAAATAATGATAGGTTAATTTTAGTTATGAAGAATTCGTGCAAAACTACCACATTCGCTGTAAATTTATGGAGCTGTATTCTGTTTTATCCGCCATTCCTTTATAATGGAAACATATTAATACAAATACGCCCATTTAAAAAAAATGAACCATCATATGAATCATTGATATTTATTAAAAACCAACGCACAGACTCGCACTAATTCTTGAAAGAAATTGCGTAAAGAGGGTATTTAACAAGATCGCAAAAATTTTCAAGAAATCAACTAAAGGGCAATGTCAAAACCCTATTGTATATCTCAATGGAATCATGTTCGATTCACCCAATTCGTCATTTTAAAGTGTGAATATTCCAAAATGTAATGGACAAAGCTAATGAAATTCCCTTAGGTTTTGCAAACGTAATAATTACTTTCAAATAAATTACATTTTCTCAATTTACGTCCGAAATGTAAAACTTTTGTTGAATTTGAATTTGAATTTACACTCAAATTGAATTTCAGCTAGAATTTTAATTATGAATTTAAATTTGCGTTTAAATCTAGATTATTTCACCTATTAGATATTGATGAATGAGTAGAAAAAAATTATTATTAAAACTATAACAAAAACAGGTCATTCATACTGATTTTTTACATTCTGAATCAATATCTCATACAATTTGGATAATCATTTTTTTGCATATTTAAATTGTAACGGACTAATATTTTAATAAAAAATGTGCAAGCCTAATACATGAAACATCATCAGCCATATTCAAACAATCAATCCAAATTTCAATTGAAAAAAAACAACCTGATTCCTTACCTTGCAGAGATGGAGCACATTGTGAAAGAAGACAAAAAAGAATGGATAACATGAACCCTTTCAGATCGGCCATCCTTAAAACAGCACCCTGGAATGGGTATAAGCCTATAAACCTGACTGTTTAATAACGACTATGCGGCAAATGCCAAGTTGCTTGGAGAAGCTTTTTTTTTGTTTTCGGTATAGTATAGTTTACTGCTGATCGTCATGAAGGTGGCACCTGTCTGCTTCTGAAGAAAATGGCTGAATGAAGAAAGGAGGAACTAATTATGACACTAAATTGCCTCTCACATCAAGATTTGAAAAAAAAGCTATGACGCAAATACTTGAAAATCGTTTTATATTACTTTATGATTATGCCCATAGATTGCAAACGTTTTGTTGACATTCAGAAGCCGATAACATTCATTCCCTTCCAACTCATCACCCTGAGGATGGAAACAGAAGCTGATTTTCTCACATAAGTATTAGCATTTCGTGTTGTTGCAATTTATCATATCTTAGAAAGGTAAATGTTGAGAACGAGGCGACACGAATATGAGATACGACAGGGGTAAATTATTAACATATGAAGTAAATGCTTTCTTTTATTACCAATGTCTGTGTTTGCTTTGTGTATACATGAAATAATTGGAACTTCATGCTGTTTCTTTTCCCGTTTTTCGATTATTGACATGTTCCCTCTGTTTGACACACATTCTTTCTCACTCCCCGTTTGCTCTCTCATCCCCTCTCCCTCTTTCAAAAGTGTCACAGGAAAGAAAAGCCATTCAATATTGTGTTTATTATTAGTCTAAAACAAAATATATTTTCATCATTACATCCTCATGTTTTTGTATTAATATGTGCATTATACGTGCAGAGAAAAAAAAAACCATTTTGTCCTCATGCATACATCATTGTCTCATCGTGTACATATTTCAAGGTGTAGTCACCTTTCATAAAACAAAAGTTGCACGGTCATCCGGATACTTTTGATCAAACCACAATATGTGCTGAATATTTTGTTTGGCTCAAAACCTTTATACAAACAATAAAGTGAAATGATAATGCAGTGATGCTTGAAGGTTAAAATCCTGTTGTGGTAATATATCACAAGACAAGTTTTTGTACAGTTTTTCAAGCTAGGGCACTCCCTCCATGATTCTCATGAAAAAACAATTTTTGATTATTTAGCACATGAATATTCAAATAGTAATTCCTGATTTATTAGCCGCTAGGGTAGATATGTTGATAACAGACCGTTGATATTTGCTAGGAGTGAATTTAGCCAAGGCATTGCAATTGTGTTCTTAAGGAAGGTGGGACTGGGTACCTGATTATAGATGCAAACATAATTGTGGTTTGGATTAAAATGGCAGGAATGCTGTTTCATTCAGTGATGGGTGTAATATTACACTGTATCATGCTTTGAATAGTTAGAAAGATTCTGAAAAAGAAAAGTTGTAAAAAGGAAAACTAAGAATTGCAACAGACTCGTGCCTTTTGAATGTTTGTATAGATGCAACTTCTAGGTTATTGTGTTCTTTCTATCTTCCAACAAGGCAATGTGGTCTAGTAGATAAGTCACTCGACTGCAGATTACAAGGTAAGGGGTTCAAATCCTAGCCAGCCACTAACGTCCTTTGACAAGGCGTTAATCTACATTTAGGGGAGGGGGGGGGGATCATATCAAATGACCCCCCATGTTTTGTCAAAAAAGAAGGGGACCACCCATTTTGCCCCCCCCCCCCCCATTTTGAAATGTTTTCTATTCCTTTTTTGCACCCGGAAATGTGAAAATCGGTCTTGGTTGCACACTACATCGGTCAAGATCGCAATGTAATTTTATGCATACAGGATTTGATGGATGGAGTGGTGGTCGATGGAGAGGAGGTCATTATGATGATGTTTTGAATAGTAATACACACTCTATCTGATCATTTACTAAAATTCTGTATTTTTGTTATGAAAGGATGAAGAAATGATTTCGAGTAGTTTTAATTTTTTAACCTTCACAATCAGACGTATGGAGATACGGTCAAAGAATAATATAAACTATAAAATGAAAATTTCTAGAAATTTGGTCATGCGTCCATTTTCGCCTTTCTGTTGGGCATCCAATATTATTGTTAAGTTGATTCAACTCTAAGCATAATATAAAAGTGGTATTTGTCATGATTTTTTGTTAACATATATATTTAGATTGCCTCTCACATCAAGATATCACAAAAAGCAATGACGCAAGTACTTGAAAATTGTTTTATATTACTTTATGATTATGCCCATAGATTGCAAACGTTTTGTTGACATTCAGAAGCAGATAACATTCATTCCGTTTCAACTTATCAGCCCTGGGAGGGAAACAGAAGCTGATTTTCTCACAAAAGTATAAGCATTTCGTGTGGTTTTAGGAAAAGTGTGATCACCTTTCATAAAACAAAAATTGCACGGTCATCCGGATACTTTTGCTCAAAGCACAAGATGTGCTGATATTTCTGTTTGGCTCAAAACCTTTATACAAACAATAAATGGAAATACCGATAAAGTGATGCTTGAAAGTTTAAATCCTGTTGAGGTTATATATCACAACACAGGTTGGTATACAGTTCTGGAAGATAGGGCACTCCCTCCATGATTCTCATGAAATATCAAATTTTGATTTTTAGCACCTGAATATTCAAATAGGAATTCCTGCTCTATTAGCCACAAAGGTAGATGCGTTGATATTAAAAAGAGTTCTAGGACACCTACCCCATGGACATCCTCCCCCGGACAGTGGCGGATCCAGGGGGGGGGGGGATCCTGGATCCGCCCCTGGTACAGGTTTCCTGGTACATGTCCAATGAGAAACCATATTAAAGGGAAACAAAAAAACGCGTTCTTCATAGACGGGTGGTCTTTCATTACAGGTGTTCACTAAAGCAGGCTTGACTGTAGCAGTAGTGGTAATAGCAGTAGTAATCATTACATTTACGCTAATACGTTCACGATAATAAGCCAAGGAATCTTTACAAAACAGAAAAATTGATTGCCATGACCTACCTATCGAGTTATCGTGCAGGATATAACCTGTCACGTCGCAGGGTACCAGTAGTCGAGCGAACCAGAGTCACAGTAAGAATAGGTTGAACCAGTTGAAGCTAATTAACCGGTAGAACATGAGAACCATGATTTTTTCGTTAAAACTGCGCTGCCGTCTGGAAGATTGAGAAAAAGGAAAGGGAAAAAAAAGGAAAGGAAAAGAAAGAAAAGAAAGAAAGGAATAGAAAGGAATGAGAAGAGAAGAAAGAAAGAGGAAAATTAGAAAAGAAAGGAGAGGGAAAAAAGGACAAGAAAAGGAAGGAAAAAATGAAAAGAAAGAAAGGAAAGACAAGGAGTAAAGGAAAAAAAGGGGGAAAAAAGGAAAAAAGAGAAAATGAAACAAAAGAAACGGGGGAGGAAAGAGAGGAGAGAGAGAGAGGGGGTAAGAGCATAAGAGAGCAGGGGTGGGAGTAAGAGAGAGAGAGGGGGTGTGGTTGTTGGGTGGAGTCATCTCGTCGAGGGAGCAAAAAAGATACGTATATATAAATTATGTTGCTGTGTCGGGTCAGCTGTGTCGGTTTCCTCGCTCGATCCTCGTGTACTATAAATGCAGAAGTTTGAACTCGGTGAGATGTATAATGTCGGCGAATTTTTTTTTCTTCCAAATGTCACTTTGTTATCAGCTGTGACGACTTTGAGAGAGCCTACAACTATAACAATTGTATATTCTCGAAATTTTCACCAGCAATCATTAAAAATCATTGTCAATTGTCATTGTCAAACTTACTATAATATCATCAACAACAAAAAACAAAAAGGGGGGGGGGGGTTGAAAATCGCATCATAAAGCTTCGAACCCGGCAGATTTGGTGCAAGTGCTGCAATCCTGCCGATGGCTCTTGCCGATCCTCCACATCGGATAGTTGCATGACTTGAATGCACATTTGTTTATATTGCTGCGATGCTGACTACTCTTCACGAAATAAACCGTTTATTTATGAGTTCAGGGAAAATGACCATGTGCGCATGACGGGTAACGATAGTTCTCAGGAAAAATAGCCCTCGGCCCCCAGGCCCTGGATTTAGAGTGTTCAATTTGTAGACATTGGCACTTGACATTAATGTATTTGTCGGTAACTGGATGCTAGTTTTGGCGGTAATCGGCGGCCTCTTCAACCCCCCCCCCCCCCCCCCACTGAAAAGGTCTAGCGACGCCCCTGCGTGGAGGGCAGTAATTTTATTGTTTAATCGTTAACATGACACGAACATGTCCTGCTAAAGACCATGTCTACTTAATGACTCATCTTCTCACTACATATGTCCGTGTAATGACGCTGTATTAAAGATGTATAAATATATATTTAAAGGGTATTCATATTGCATATAATCGACTAAATATATTCAGATTCAGAACTTCATGCATCCCACTAACCACACGCCCATGCATGCCCACTCGACTAAACACACATTTATTTATCCCCCTTGTTATTCAAACAAGCAATACTTCTGAATAAGTTGTAGGCTGATTTCGAAACTTATGTTTAATAAGCACAAAAATAAGCACACACAAAAACTCACTCAAGAACCCCTTTTTTCAGTAACTTAATAAATCACACTTGCATGTTTCTAAAATATATGAGACTAAAATATATTATTTCTAAAATAGAATTGTGTGTGTGTAAAAGACACATACACAAAAAACGACATACGCTGGAAAATCATCCACTTAATAGGCAGCTTGAACAAAGTTCAGTATTGAGTATGGCACGCCACAGCCGTCATAATTGGTCGAGTTTACAAAAAAGCAAACGAGTTTACAAAAAAGCAGTCGAGTTTACAAAAAAGCAATCGAGTTTCCAAAAAAGCAGTCGAGAAAAAAAAAAAAGCAGTCGAGAAAAAAAAAAAAGCAGTCGAGAAAAAAAAAAAAGCAGTCGAGAAAAAAAAAAAAGCAGTCGAGAAAAAAAAAAAAAGCAGTCGAGAAAAAAAAAAAAAGCAGTCGAGAAAAAAAAAAAAAGCAGTCGAAAAAAAAAAAGCTGTCGAGAAAAAAAAAAAAAGCAGTCGAGAAAAAAAAAAAGCAGTCGAGAAAAAAAAAAAAGCAGTCGAGAAAAAAAAAAAAAAGCAGTCGAGAATAAAAAAAAAAAAAGCCGTCGAGAATACGTGCCTTCACGGTTGTTTCATCACAAAGCATGCCAGGACATAATTCTCGTACATTTTTATACCTTCGCCGTGATCAGCTGTCCCGTTGCAAACAAAGGGATTCTTATCAAGCAACATCTTAATCTTGTACATAATCCGCTATTCTGCAGTGATTTTCTTTCACTCCAGTATCATTTGTACGGTAAGAAACGAAAGTTTGTGTTTATTCATTTTTATGACGAATAAAGCTGATAATACGACGTAATAAGAGTGGGCCGGGGTCCAACTTTAGTAAATGTAGGCCTAGATCTAGTCCCGTATGTTTAAATGTGTGTGCATTTTAAGTAGACTGATTGCCTTGTGTTTTAGGTAGAAGTTAACCAAATTTACAGTAAAATGAGACTCATGTCTCAGGAAATATGAATAGGTCTAGATCCTATAGACTATACATAATTGGAATAGGATCTACTAGAATGGCTGACAGTTAGATAGTGATGGCAATTAGTAAATGTAAAAAAGTAAAAGAGGCCATGAAAACGATAGATTTGTCGATCTTGATCTGAATATAATAATAGTCTATGTATTGATGAGCTCTACTTGAGGATCTACATGACGGGGGCGTATGAAGGATTTTTTCGAGGGGGGGGGGGTTAAAATTTGAAAATCGTGCCGAAAATTTCACATCGACTCAGCCAGCCGGTGAATGAGAGGGGGAGGGGGTCGGTTAGAGCACCTATTTTTTCCCGAAAATATGAATATTTGGCAGATCGATATTTCGTTCAGCTGATGGTAAGGTCACCTTTTTGGGGTCACCCTTTAGCACAAAAATGTTTCCCCATGATCTAGTGCGATAAGGGTTCTTTTGTTACCGTTATTCTTGAGGTTACAAACTTAAATTTGATTGTCTTTTTCCTTTTATTTATCAGTTGCAGCATCATCAAACACTATGGCCGATGAATCAGAAGATGACGTAGATGCTACGAGAGAGCTCATTTCACAATGGACAACAGAAGTGATACGTGCCTTTCTACAAGGAGGGGACTCAAGCTTGGAAATTGAGGAGTCATTATTTTATGGGTGTTCTCTGCCCTGACGCTGGGGGTACTGTTCAGCCATCTGAGGTAGAGAGGTAGAGAGGAACTGGACGATGGATGGATGGGGGGGGGGGGAGAAAGAAAGGCATGCAGAGATGGCTGTCTACTATGTATAGAGACATTTGTGTGCTACTGGATAAGGACCCTCCATCACTAGAGGGAAGAATAATGAGAGACTACAAATAGGGGAAGGCATTTAGTTATTTTGCCAGTTTCTGGTTAGGGAGACATTTGTTTCATCTCCTGGGAGAAAGCTGTCTGAAATTCAAAATGTATTTGATACTTGAATAAATTTAGTTCATTTTCTAGACTGGTTCATGTCAAACCGTTGATTCTACTTTCTTGTGAGTATACACTGTAGTCAGAGAGATAGAGAAGTAACACGAGTAAAGAATGAAAAAGAAGCCAATATTTGAACGAGGAGGAGAAAATGGAGATTACGTTGTTGCCCATCAAGTTGGAATAATTGTTCTTACCACTGTTTATTAAATGATTGTGACCATATGGTTTATTGTTTGTACATAATGGTCTTATATTATAAGAACTTTATTGATCAATCTCAGGAGTCTTATACATGTAGATTGATTAATACGGTTTTGAGATGATGATGATGATCGTGATGATGAACGAGAAGGAGAAGAGGAGGAATATATCAAGAGTTGATGAAGAAAAGATTGATAGAGGGGTTATCATTACAGAGAGAGAGAAAGAGAGATAGACTAACATAAGGAAGGGAGAGCAAGAACAAGGCTATGACATAGGGGAAGAGATAGAAATCAAAATTATATTTATACAACATTTACTAAATTAAAATAATAAATTAGAAAACAAGGCTAGAGGAAAGAATGCAAACTAAAATTAAGCAAAGACCATCACTATATCGTTCACATTATAATATAAATTAAGAAAAGGTACATGGAAATATGTACAATTGTAAAATTTAATCTCTCATTCTCTTGATCTTCCTCTTCACACCTAATTCTTGCTCTCCCTGTCTATCTCTCCCACCCCTCTCCATCTCTCTCTCTTTCTCTCCCCTTCTCTCTCTCCTTATTATCACTCTTTCTCTTTCATTAAGCGTCGACATCTCTCTCAATGCCTCTCTCTGTTTCTATGAATTTTCTCTTGATAAATATTTTAAACATCAGGTCTGTCTGACCTTCCTCTCTTGAATAAATCATGAATAACTTCAACTCAGCGTCCTACATACAGTAATGATTGCTTAGTAGTCATCTACAACCCTCACTGTCTTGTTTGATTTTATTTATAAAATAAATATAACCATGAGATCAATATCAACAGGGAACGGAGGTACCGCATGCGTGTTCCCAAAATCTCTGGCTCGTAACAAAATTTAAAAAATAAAAATATAAAAAAAACGCTACTTTTAAAGCGCTTACCACCAAAATCTCTAAGCGCTATAACAAACGAAAATAGACTGATAAACAATTACTTATTAAACAAAACAAAAAAGTGTGAATAAACCTACAAATTACAATACATATACCGTACATGTACATCAAAGTGAACAGAGCCTGGCAGCAGAGTTTTGGATTCTCTGGAGTTTTGCAATGAAAAAGATCTGCCCGTATTGACTTTACACACTGGACTTTTGCTGAGAAGGGGGGGGGGGTGCTGAAAAGGCTTGTATAACAAAGAAACAAAATCTACCCGTATTGACTTAACACAGGGGACTTATGCTAAAAAAAAAAGGGGGGGTGCTGGGAACACGCATGTGGGTACCCTAAATAACACTGAGTTGGGGGGGGGTACCACCTTTAATGCAAACGCATTTAAAGGGATCCGGTAACATTATCTCAGATTCTGAAACAAAATCCTGGATTTAGCTCGTGCTGCAATGATAATTTTATGTCAGTCAAGAACTCGATGACTTTTACAATCCGATCGCCTGTCTGATTATCAAGATATTTACGATTGGAAATCGAAACCAAATTTTGTGTTTGTCAAACGCTTTTCATAACACTACAAGTCTATTGGGGAAAACGAGTATGGTAAAAGGGGTCAATCAAAGATTTTTACTTTTTTGAGGCACTTCTTGATCATTTTGAAGCGCGATTTTGTTAGGGCTTCAGTATTAATACACCATATCGCAGACACTGGTAGCGCGTAGGGCCATACGTCAATCTTGAATTAAACATTGTTAAACCCCGGCCCCCCCCCCCCCCCCACTCAGTGTTATTTAGGGTACGCATATGCTTGTTCCCTCTTTTTGAAAGCACCCCCTATCTGAGGACTGCCAACATTTCCGAACCCCCCTTTCGCGGGCTTTTCCTGCCTTGGAGACTCCCCTAAATCATGAAAAATGCTCAATGTACCCCCCTAAATTCAGAATAATTTCTCAGGAGTCCAAAGAGATAATCGAAAAAAAGAAAAAATACCCCCTTTTTAAAGAAATCTCCGGGTGAAAAGTTAATACACCCCTTTTTGTACAATTCTCGGGCCGGACTTTGTCACACGAAAAGTACCCCTTTACCGGACATTTTGGTAACACGCATGGGGTCCGTCTGTTATCGGAGTGGGGGGGGGGGGCCTGCATGGTGTTAAACAATGCCTTTTACAATACCTTTACAACATACACCATTGGCTGTCACATGGTTTGGAAATCACATTACAGATAATAATTCTACAATTGTGAGGTTTCACCTGTCATCATTTGATACCCGAAGGAACGCTTTTTTAGGGGCTAAATCTAATTTTTTTCACAAGGCAAAATAACTATATGCCTTCCCCTCTTTGAAGTCTCTCATTATTTTTCCCTCTAGTGATGGAGGGTCCTTATCCAGTAGGTACATACATAGTAGGCCAGTTCTGCATTCCTACCCCCCCCCCCCCCCCGTCCTCCCCTATCCATCCATTGTCCAGTTCCTCTCAGTCTTAACCTCGGATGGCTGAAAAGCTACCCCCAGCGTCAAGGCAGCCGGCAGAGAACATCCATAAAATAATGACTCCTCGGTTTACAAGCTTGAGTCTCCTCCTTGTAGAAAGTCACGTAGCACTTCTGTTGTCCATTGTGAAATGAGCTCTCTAGTAACATCTACGTCATCTTCTGATTCATTGGTCATCGTGTTCGATGATGCTGCAACTGATAAATAAAAGGAGAAAGGCAATCAAATTTAAGTTTGTGACCACAAGAATAATTGTAACAAAAGAATCCTTATCACTTCTTTAACACAAGTTCATGTAGACCCATGTAGATGCTCAAGTTGAGGTCATCGATATCAGACTATTATATCCAGATCCAGATCGACAAATCTATCGTTTTCATGGCCTCTTTTTTTACCTTTTTTACATTTAGGGCCTAGACTAATTCATTTGCCATCACCACAGCGTAAATATTCATAATTGAATGACACACGCCCTTAAAACTAAAACAACAACAAAAAACCATCACTATCTAACTGTCGATGTCGGCCATTCTAGTAGATCCTATTCCAATATCAATTATGTATAGTTTATAGGATCTAGACCAGGCCTTCTCAACTAGTTTATTAGAAGCGCCAAAACAAAAATTTATTGAGGTTGAAGTGCCACCATGTATGTTTGTTGACTGTGTTGCGAGGGAGCGTAGCGACCGAGCCGATATCGGGTGGGGTCCAAGGGCGAAGCCCCCGGAAGCTAGTGGATTTTAGGGCTTTTTTAAGGCCCAGATGTGGCATTTTTAACACCTTTTTGTTCCATATAACATCAATCATAATTTCATATTGATGTGAAATAATTAGTACAATTCCTGGCTAAAATCTACACTGGAAGTTAATTTATATGTAGTTATTTTAGTGCAATAAACAAGGAAAATGTCAAAATGAAGTGAAAATCAAACAAACAAAATGGCTTGCTTACATTTTGGGCTCAACTTCTACTGCGACTTTTTGATTTTGCTGAGTTTTTTTTATTTTAAATTTAAAATATAATTTTTTAATTTTGTCTTTCTTTAATTTTTATCTATTTTTTTATTATTTTTTTGGAACAGCCGTGCGCCACTCTGACTGACCGCAAGCGCCACGAGTGGCGCGCGCGCCGCCAGTTGAGAAGGCCTGATCTAGACCTATTCATATTTCCTGAGACATAAGTCTCATTTTACTGTAAATTTGGTTAACTTCTACCTAAAACACAAGGCAATCAGTCTACTTAAAATGCACACACATTTAAACATACGGGCCGACTAGATCTAGGCCTACATTTACTAAAGTTGGACCCCGGCCCACTCTCATTACGTCGTATTATCAGCTTTATTCGTCATAAAAATGAATAAACACAAACTTTGGTTTCTTACCGTACAAATGATACTGGAGTGAAAGAAAATCACTGCAGAATAGCGGATTATGTACAAGATTAAGATGTTGCTTCTATAAGAATCCCGTTGTTTGCAACGGGACAGCTGATCACGGCGAAGGTAAAATTCGATTATTCGAGTTATCGAATCAGCGCATTTGTGAGAGAATGCAACGTAAACAATATAGTTCAGGGTCAAAGTTGTTTACGCTAGCAAAGTGCAGAAAGGTCAAAAGAGAAACTATTAGTTAAGCGCATCGCGCGCGATACCGGTAAAGTGCGCGCATTCCAAGTTAGCATGCGCGGCACAACAACTGAATTCGCCTCACATACTCAACAAGTTCCACTGGGGTTGGATGTTTTTCTTTTCCCGCCTCCCCACCCTTCTACTCCTCAGACAATAAGAAAGGAAGAAATAAGAAGTAGAAAGTGAAAGAGCTAAAAGAAAGGGGGAGGGAAATGTACACAGCAGGGCTCGGGGAGGATAGATTTGAGACATGTACCCAAAAACAAAAAAGTGATGATGATGATTATGGTTGGTTGGTTTGGCTAGTATGCTTTTAATGAATGGATGGTTGGCTGGGCTTGTAATAATTCGTGTTATGGTTGGCTTGATGGGCTTGTATTCTTACTTGGAACAAAGTTTTGGTTGGTTGGTTGGGCTAGTAATGTTCCAATAAATGGCTGGTTGGTTGGGCCAGTAAGCTATTAATGAATGAATGGTTGGCTGGGCTAGTATAATGATTCGTTTTAAAGTTGGCTGGATGGGCTTGAATTCTTAATTGGAATTGGTTGGGCCAGTAAGTGTTGTGGCTCGTAGAGCCTTCTTGGACGCATTTAAATAAATGGTTGGTTGGTTGGGCTAGTATGCTTTTAATGAATGGATGGTTGGCTGGGCTTGTAATAATTCGTGTTATGGTTGGCTGGATGGGCTTGTATTCTTAATTGGAACAAAGTTTTGGTTGGTTGGTTGGGCTAGTGATGTTCCAATAAATGGCTGGTTGGTTGGGCCAGTAAGCTATTAATGAATGAATGGT